AGGTGACCCTGCTCTGGCAGGAGGGTTGGACTAGATGATCTCCAGAGGTCCCTTCCAACCCTAACAATTCTGTGAATTCTGTGAAGAAGGCTGCACAGAGCCACGGGTCCGAGGCAGCAGCCTCCCCTGGGGGTCACGGGCCGCAGCGGTGGAAGACACCTCTGTCTTTGGGCACCAGGAACGTGCAGCGCTGCCCCGGCCCCGCAACGGCCCCTCCGCTTGGGTGCAGCCAGGGTGCGAGAGAATGAGACGGCGTTTTTGGCTGGGGGAAGCGGAGCTCAGCTGGAAGTGAAGTCACTGCAGGAGACAAGCGCAGGTCCGTGGTCACGTTCCAGGTGTTGTCGTGGCAGAAGACCTTCAGGGCATTATGCCGCTGTCTCCAAACGCCTCCTGCCAGAGGGTCCAGCTGGGCTCTCTCCGCTTCTGCCACCTCCAAGTCAGCTTCAATCAGCCCTTCCTTACCCATCTGCTGCTCACAGGAGCGAGACTGGGCCCAGATGGCCTTCCTGCAGCAGGAGGACTGCTCGGGGAACACACGGCTCAGAGGGGAAAAACAGGAGGTTTATCTTTGATGGCCTCAGCTCTGGGCACGAGCGAGGCCGTCGCTCCTCAAGCCCTGTCCATCAGGGACGCTGACCACGCACAGGCACAAGCCAGCGGTGTGAGGAGAGAGCTCCAAACTGCTCATTTGGCAAACGTTAGCCTTGCTTGGCCCGTCTCCCTCGAGCTGACTCGTCCCCGCTCTCACAGATGGCCCGTGGCCACTTGGCTCCGGAGCAGCTCTCCAGGCAATCAGACAGGCCTGAGCGGAGGAGCGAGACCTCCCCGATGCAGGAGTGACCAGAGACCACGGCGATTGTTTGCACAGATCGGTCAGTGACTGCGTAAGCCTGCTGGTGGTCGAGCCACCCCGTACGCCCTCCTGGAGGGAGGAAGGAGCCAAGGCCAAGCGGCCCAGTCACGGCAAGCTGTAGCTGAGCGAAGCAGCAAGATCTTCTCAGCTGACACAGGAGCCGAGCGGCTCCAAATCACAGAGGTTTGTTGTTTCTACTCTGAAGCACTTGGGAAGGCACTACGTGCGCTTGCCAAGCACTCGCCAGCAGCAGTGCGCTGCGGCAGCTCCTCCGTCGGCGGTGCACTGAGCCAGACTCTGCCCACGAGTCACACCAGCCTTGCTCAGCTCACCCGGCGTGGCAAAGCCAGAATTCAGCTGAGGGAAACCTCCCTGCATTTGTCAGAGCTGCTTAGAGGCAGAAGCAGGGAGAGGAAAGGGAGGGAAGAGCAGGTTACCCACCTGAGCTCCCCCGGTGATGGGGATGGTACACGTCAGGAGGTTCCCGATGACGTTCTCCAGGGACACACTCAGTCCGTCCACGTAGATGGTATAGATCAAACCCAGGCTGTTCTGGAGAGGGAAGCAGAGCACAGCTGAGCATCAGGGTGGGACGCAGAACTGTACGTCTGCAACTCCAAGCACGGGATGGGAAGGAGACCCACTTCTCCACTGCTCTGCGTTTGGACTGTGCCCTTAAAAACACGCTTTAACTTTCGGTGAGCCCTGAACTGGTCCGGCAGCGGGACTAGGTGAGCGTTGTAGGTCTCTTCCAACTGAAATTTCTATTCTATTCTGTTCTGTTCTGTTCTATTCTAATCTAATGGACTTGATCATCCCAAGGGTCTCTTCCAGCCTAGATAATTCTACGATTCTATGATTCTATGATAATCTAATTCTTTTCTTTCTCTTCTTTTCTTTTGGGGAAGCAACACCAGGTCCAGCACAGAGGGATGCGGGGGGCACAAACATGGGGCAGCGTTCAGCACAGCTCTAATACGCAGATGAATAAGGAATTTGAGGAATTTGTCTTCAAGGCACCCTCTGGGTGTTGTTTTTTAACTCAAACCATCTCCCCATGTCAGCGAGGAAGGGAGGAAACACAAATACCGGGCTTTGGAGAGAAGGGGCCAGGCAGGCTACTGCACGCTGGAATAACCCAGTGAAGAGCCAGCTCACGCTCCTGCACATTCACGAACAGTGGTGAAGGCTCCTGACACACCGTGTGTACGGCGTGACCTCACCCTGAGCAAGAGGCAGACTCTCAGTCCAGCACCGCGCTGACCAGGAGGACCAACAGGTCCGGGTTTTGGGCTACGGAGACCTCTAATCAGAGAAGAAAAGGAGCCACAACAACCCGAGTCTCGTGCCAGGGAAGGAACAGGCGGCGCTTCAGATTTAGCCAGTGAAATCTGTCGTCCACCCCGAGGGCAAAGGCCGGGCTTCCACCCATCGCCCTTCTCCTGGCAGGGACAAGGAGAGGCAAACCCCGCTCAACAGGCAAACACGCCATGTTCTGCCACCATCTGCTTCGGCTCCCTCGGGCACGCCAGAGGTGCGCGGCACTCGCCGCTGCGGAGCAGAGACCCCGACGCCACAGCCGCCGCGCTCCGAGACCTTCTGGGCACAGCCAGCGACATCGCTGGGTCTGTGCCACAGCCGAGGGGGCAATGACCCAAGGCCCAGAACAACGGCGCCGTAGTGCTCATCGCGCCGCTGCTCCTCAGAACTCACTAAGGTGGATAATTCAAGCAATGAAATCAGGCAGCCAAACGCCTGACGCAAACGTTACTGGGCCTCCTAACAAACCCGGCCGGGGCAGCCGAGCGGTCAGGTACGCAAGGACCGAAACGAGCCGGGAACCATCTCCGTGCGGTCTCCAGGGGAGAAGCTCTGCAGGAAACCTCTTTCGGAACCTGTTCTCTGACCCGCTTTCCTCCAGCGTTATCCCCAGCCACGGCCGGGCTGCCGGCAGACTCTGCAGCCCAGCTGATCTCGCTCTGCTCTCCCAGGCCTGAGAAAACGAACAGCCCCGGCGTTTTAGAGAATTCCAGCTCCAGGGAAGGCCAGGCATGGTAAACCCCATCCCAGACGTGAGGATGACCGTACGGTGCGACTGCTTGCCATGAGGGAAATGGACAGACGATCCAGGCTCGTTTCTGTCCATACGCTTCCTTCTACCTCGGGCTTACCGCTCCCGCTTGCTGGGAAGGAGTTGCTGTTTTAACACCGCCTGTCAGCCAAGACAGGCTTGACGTGGGCTCAGACAACTTTCCCCAAAAACTACCTAAGTCTGCAGACGTTTTTACTGCGCAGGTGGTTGAGCACTGGCACCCGTTGCCCAGAGAACTTGTCCAATCTCCATCCTTGGAGATACTCAAAACCCAACTGGACGATACCCTGGACAACCTGCTCGAGCAGGGTTGGACCAGAGAGCTCCAGAGGAGCCCCCAACCTCAGTTACGTGGTTCGGGGTTGCGAGTCTGCAAAGCCCGAAGTTTCTGCTGTTTGAAGCAGCTCCAGGCCAGAGAACGGAATGATTTTTTTTCCCCTGTCAGTTATTAATGCCTCGAGCATTGAATACCCTGAGGGAACACCATGTGCTCCATTCACAGAGTGAGCTGTGAACAAGAGGTTCCAGAACAGGGCAGAGCCCAGAAGCGCTATCCGCGCGGTGGGAGGGGAAAAAGGAAGGACCCAGCCTGGCCTGATGGAGAACATTGCCCTCCCGCAAGCCCAGCACCTGGGCAAGCTCGTGGAGAGCCCACCGTAAACGCCGGGGGGATTCCTCCCTGGGACCAAGGGAGCAGCGAGGCAGCCGGGGCACTCGCTGCGGAGGCGGGCCCAGCGCCCCGCCTGCCCCGGCCGCAGCGCTGCGGGCACAGTACGCGCGGAGGCAGCTTGTAAACACGCCAGCTTGCAGCCCGTGCCCTCCCGAACCTGATACAGCCACATAAAGCAGCCCGTTTAAAGAAAATAGATGGCAAAGATAAATGCTCGCACAGGAACGGGCTGTTCTTCATCATTTTTTTCTAGTAACAAAACTGGGTCAGGGCCACCAGCTGCCTGGCGTGGCCGAGTCCTTGGTTTGCCGTCCCGCTGCCAGCCGTGCAGGTTCAGCGTGCAGCCGCTGAACCGGCGCCTGGGGCTGGACCGCGATGCAACGGGCGGG